CTTGAGCCCTTAAACCCTAAACCCTCAACCCTCAACCCTAGCCCTAAACCATCCTGAGCCTTGCCACTGTTTGTTCTCCGACTCTTGGCTGTGCTTTGAGCTCTTCGCCTGCACATGCAAGGTGCATTTGCTGACAGAGATGCGGCAACGGAAGATGAAACCTGATCTGCCCCTTTTGTTGAACACGGTTTAGGGTTTAGGGTTCAGGGCTTATAGGGTTTAGGGTTTAGGGTTCGAGGCGGGCGAAGTCTCTTGGAAAAAAGGGCGAAGGGTTTATCAGTTTAGGGTTAGGGTTGCTGAACACGGGTTGCAGGCGCGTCGCAGCGGCTCTGGCTGCGGATTTTGTTGGCTTCCACTTGGACTGAACTATACAGACCCAGAAGCCCCCCCCCCCAAACCCCTCTAACCCTACAATGCCCCACAGACCTCACCAAACCCCTAATGAACCTCAACAAGCCCTACCTAAAATCTTACAAAGCCCCATGTAAAAATCGTAGGATCCCCAAAAAGCGGACCCCAGTAAGGTGCCCGCTAATTTCGGAAACCCTAAACCCTAAACCCTTAAACCCTAAAGCCTAAAGCCTAAAGCCTAAACCCTAAACCCTAGACCCTAAACCCTAATCCCTAAACCCTAAACCAACCCTAAACCCTAAACCCTGTCAAGTCCACTGGGCCTAGGATCTGCCACAGCATCGCCGCAGCCTCGGTTAGGGTTTAGGGTTTAGGGTTTAGGGTTTAGGGTTTAGGGTTTAGGGTTTAGGGTTTAGGGTTTAGGGTTTAGGGTTTAGGGTTTAGGGTTTAGGGTTTAGGGTTTAGGGTTTAGGGTTTAGGGTTTAGGGTTAGAGAGAGCCGTTTCGCACACACCAGAGCACTTGGGGCGAAAAGATGCAGACATGATCTGGGTCGCCCAGTGGTACCGTTGACCCTTTTTGGGGTTCTGGGCTTCCTTATAAAAGGAACCAACCCCAAAAAAGGGGTCCTTATCATGATGTGGTTACTGAGCTGCTAAGTTCTACAGGAATCCCCGAAACCCCAAACCCTCAAGCAAAAAAGTCTCCAATATTTGCCCCCGGAATGCCTGAATTGCATCTGCATACCCTGAAATTCCCGGTTCAATCAAGGGGAGCCCATGTGGCTCAGGGTTTAGGGTATAGGGTTTAGGGTTCATGGTTTAGGGTTTAGGGTTTCGGGTGTGGCTGAGGTCAAAAGGGCTCGCTTTGCTGGCCGGCAGGGGCGCCGCAGCTCTCGGCGCAAGCTGACTCAGACGAGGCTCCCTAAACCCTAAACCCTAAACCCGGGTTTATAAGGCTTTACCTTAAGGACCACATGAACCCCCTATACTGCCATAATCCCTGTTAAGGTATATGAACCGTAAACCCTCTCAAGGTTCCTTGGGTCCTTAAGGGACGGGACACGAACATGACATTGCACGCTGTGCCATAAGTAGCTCAGCAGTGTTGTTACTGTTTTACGATATTGCGACTACTATTGTCATTCTTTCCTTGCTACGTGCGCTCAGTCTTACTATCCCTGCTATAGTCTTGTTATTGCATGTAATCTCACAGATCCGTATCCTAAACCCTAATCCTTAATCCCTAAACCCTAAACCCTAAACCCTAAACCCTAAACCCTAAACCCTATACCTAACCCCCCCCCCAAAAAAAAATAAAAGAAATCTTGAAACAGCGCTGCCCAGGCTCCGTGGCATACCGGAGACTGCAGCATGCGCGCGGGGGTTCACAGAAAAAAAGCAGCTTCGCAGGGTTTAGGGTTTAGGGAACCCTAAACCCTAAACCCTAAACCCTAAACCCTAAACCCTGGTTGGCGTAGAAGGAACTAGGGGGTTGCAGGGGAGGGAGAGAGGGAGAGCGGGAGAGTGTGAGGGAGGGAGAGAGACAAGGAGAGATCAGGGATTTGATTTCACATGTTTCAGTTTCTTACATGGATGGTTGTCAAAATGATGATCCCTTTTAGGTTCCGCATAATAATGGGGATGCAAAAAGGGACCATCACTCTGACAACCACCCATATGGATGTGGGGGCCTCTGGTTGCAACAAAAGGGCGGACGTCAGATCTCAGGATCCAGATGCATTAGGGTTTAGGGTTTAGGGTTTAGGGGGAGGGTTGAGGAGATCCTTGCAAGTACGGGCCCCCTTACTATACTAACCCTAGTTAAGGGAGTTATCACCTACATAGTACTACTTATAACCCAATTTAGGGCCCTTAGAACCCTATTTATAACTAGGGGGCCCTTACATGTGGGGATCATAGGAACCCTAACATTGGGACCATATACCGTATACGACTAGAATCCCTATTATAAGGTAATATAAGCCGAAAACCCTAAACCTAAACCCCTCTAGATGCCCTACGCTACTAGAATCCCTATGAAGGTAATATGAACCAGAAACCCGTTTAAGGTTCCTTTGGTCCTCAAGGAACCCCAAGGGTCCATGTACCTAATTATTATACACTTGGGCCACAAAGTCCTTTTACAGCAAGTACTTTAAGGGCTATTCCTTATTAAGGTACATGGACCCGTAGGGATTAGAGCAAGAAGGATTTCGCAAAAGCTCGCGACTGTCATCCCGATGTTGTCCCCAGTCGTTCGGGACACAAGCGAATTAGTGTTGCAAGCATAGGGTTTAGGGTTTAGGGTTTAGGGTTTGGGGTTTGGGGTTTGGGGTTTGGGGTTTCGGGTTTGGGGTTTAGAGAATCGGCCCTCAGTTAGAATTCCGGCAACGCCCTCAGTCCGGCTGCAAAAAGAGGGAATCGGCTGACGAGGGTTCGCGCCTTGCACCGATACTACTCTATGCGGCCGGGCATGGCCAGCACGCTCCTGTCACGTCGCATTCACTCAGTTTTTTGACCGACAGCGAAATGAGAGTGGAGGCCATGATTCTCTTCAGATCAGAATCTTCGAGTCTGCTGGAGTGGCAGCTTAATCATGTCGCCGCTGCGTTTGACTCTCACCATGGCTGCAGCAAGTAGTTTTGTTTGCCCAGCTAAGAGCACCTAGAGGATACTCACTTACCATTGGGCTTTCAACGAGGCTCCCTTAGTACATCTTGGTGTATCGAGCTGGCAGGCATTTGAGCAGTTGTCATAACGCGTGTGCCAATCGAGTCGAGCAACGCATGACCTCAAGCAGACCTAGGGTAACCTTTGCACCCTTACCCTAAACCCTAAACCCTAAACAGTCTACCTTAACTCTTGGAAAATATACACCGTTTTGAGGTATACACAAAGTTACTCCAGGGATACTTAGGGTCTAGGGTCTAGGGTCTAGGGTTGAGGGTTTAGGGTTTAGGGTTTAGGGTTTAGGGCACGCCCGCACTTTGCAAGCCATGGTGGAAACCATGGTAGGCGAGGAGGAGAGCCAGGCTGGCAGTCGGCTTGCAACCAACCTTAGGGACAAAATGAACCCTACAAGTAGGGGCCCCCTTACTATACTAACCTTAGTTAAGGGAGTTGTAACCTACATAGTACTACTTATAACCCAATTTAGGGCCCTTATAACCCTATTTATAACTAGGGGGCCCTTACATGCAAGATTGGGGCCATATACCCTATACTACTTCAACCCAAAGGGTTTAGGGTTTAGGGTTTAGGGTTCGTTTTACCTTAATAGGGATCATGGTAGTGTAGGGTATGCGGCCCCCAATTTTAGGGTTCATTTGGTCTGCACGGATCCTGAAGCTAAGGAAGCCCTGCCAAGACTTTACGTGAGAGTTTCGGGTTTAGGGTTTAGGGTTTAGGGTTTAGGGTTTAGGGTTACTTGTATAGTACTACCTTGGGGACCGAATGAACCCTAAAGTTGGGGTCCATATACCTTGTACTATAATCCCGAATCCCTCTTCAGGTATGTGAACCATAGAACCCCTTTTAAGGTTCATTTGGTCCTTGAGGTATGATGGAGTTAGGTACCCAAAACCATACTAGATAGGGTGTTTGGGGTACCTAGTTCCATAATGGTACTACAAATTGTGCAGCGGAATGTTCCAGTAATGTTCCATGCTCCTAGCTATTAGTGCTACTACTGGGTGGGGGGCTGGTCGACAGGGTTCAGGAGATCGTTGCCCGGTGAACCCGAGAAGCAATTGGTTTTAGTGTCATGATCCCTACACACAAAGACATGTAGATAAACAAGGAAGGGTTTCCGGCTGTACTGCTGAAAGCCACATTGATCATACTGCCATCGCCCTTTTCAAAGCATGATGCGGGTACCACGGCCAAACCATGCCAGGCCGACATCAACCGGCCAGAATAACAGCAATCGTTGTCTGGCAAACACTCAAGCCGCTAAAGTCCTCCTCCTAAACCCTAAACCCTAAACCCTAAACCCTAAACCCTAAACCCTAAACCCTAAACCCTAAACCCTAAACCCTAAACCCTAAACCCTAAACCCTAAACCCTAAACCCTAAACCCTAAACCTATACCCATGTCATGGAGACGTGACTATGGCTGGCAGCCTGCCGCTTTCTTGCCCGCAGCCGCCACGGCCATCATGAACAACTACCCCAAAGATCCCCAAGCCTTGTACCGCTCCCCTCGTTTAGCAAGACAACTTAGGCTTCCATTGTGCTGCAGTGCTTGCTGGAGGTTTACGAGAACAAGGGACCCCTAGTATAGACCCCCGAACAGTAGGATCCCCATATCAACAGGACCCCAGTCACGTAGCCCTATTATCGTAACCACCCCCTATTTCCTGACTTTTGCCTTAAGCCTAACGGTCCATGTACCTATACAGCATTTTCTTGAGCCTTGCAGGGGTTCCCGAGAAACAGCTGCAGGGCGCAAGGGGCTACCTAGGTTTGTGGACCCTTACAAGGAGGGGCCCCCTTGCGATACCAACTACAGTCTAGAAAGTACTTCAGGTACTTATATAACCTAAGTTAGGATCCCACCCAATTGAGGTTCCTTATAACTCCTACTTTTTTGGTAGGGGAGCCCCCCCCTCCTTATCGTCAGTGCTGAGCCATTCGTTGAGCCCAGACCATGGGCGGCGAGGAGGAGCTGCTTCGAGCCTATTTAGGTTGAAACTTGCATTGTGGGGTTTAGGGGTTTGCGATGGTTTACTAGGGTGAGGTTGTCTGCTTGGTGTAGCGGGCTTTGAATTCAGGGCCTTGAAGGTCTGATGCTTGAAGGTTTCGGATTCATAGGCAGAGTGAATCTTGGTTCTGAGCACAGCTCGGGCAGAGCTAGGGCATGATCTATTTACGATTGACATTCTGTCTTTCTCTTTCTTTCTCTCTCCAACTCTCTCTCTCTCTCTCCTCAGTCGCTCTTCCTTTCACTTGTTCCCTGTCATGCTCGGTGCAAGTGGCTGTCACTGCCGAACTCGAGGGACGAATGATGCACACGGCAGTGCATCTCTGTGCATCTGCAGGACCTGCCTGCTGACATCAAGAAAGAGATTGTCACGTGGGCTGCAAGAGCGGGGGCGTCTACGGTCGGAACGGATAGAGTGCACAAGCGCCATCCGTCACAGGACAAGCTTGGAAGGAAATCCTCAAGGACCAAATGAACCTTTCAAGATTGTAGTGGCTCATATACCTTACTACGGGTTTTTGTAGTAGAGGGTATATGGCCCCAATTGTTAGTGTTCGTTTGGTCCTCAAGGAGTATACTCAGAAGTCTCCCGAAGCTGCCGCAAAGGGAAAGCGCTGAAGGGCCTATGCTCAGTCCTGCGATCAAGGACGCCGGCAACTTTCAACATGTGTGCATGCATACACACGCATATATTATGTTCTACAATACCGTACAATATAAATACAAATATCTATATCTATATCTCTCTATATATATTTATATATATACATATATATATATATACATATATATATATATATATACATATATATACATAGAGCGAGACAGTGCGTGTGCTCTGAGAGCTCAGGTGACAAAAGCCGTCTATTCTGCAAGAGCCCCGAAGACCGGGGACGAGGTGCGCGGTGGCCACTCGAGGTTGGTTGAGGTTTAGAGGGTTAGAGGGTTTAGGGTTTAGGGTTTGGGGGTTTGGGTTTAGGGTTTGTGGTTTAGGGTTTAGGGTTTAGGGTTTAGGTTTGGTTTGGGGCTTCATGCAGAGTTTCAGGATGTCGTGTTTGGGCTTGGGGTTGGTTGTTTTGGGGTTGTCTGGGCTTTACAGGCAGCATGGGTTCAGGCAAACCCTAAACCCTAAACCCTAAACCCTACTGCAGGTCGAGATCCGCTTCGCAACCGTGGTGGCCAACTGGCCCGTGCACCATGGTAGCGGTGTTTGCTTCACGCTGGGCCGCGGGGAGGTCGGCAAGAGAAGGGTTTAGGGTCTTGGGTTGAGGGTTCCAGCGTTCTTCTGGGGATTCCCGAGTCTGCGAGAGAGCGAGAGAGAGAGAGAGAGAGAGAGAGAGAGAGAGAGAGAGAGGAGGTGTTCATGGTGGCAATCATGGCCGTTGCAGAAGCCCCTACACAGAACTACTGTTTGCTTAGGAACCCCCAAACAAAGAATAGGAATCCCTATATATTGGCCCTACTTGTACTTAAAAGGATGAATGTTTTCTTGTTTCCTGGGGGGGGCCCGGGGGGGGGGGTCTTAAGCAAATAGAAGAAAATGGTATGGACTGGGGTTGGGGCTCAGGTAGGGTGTCGCCTTTTCCCTGTTCTATCTCTGCCCTGTCTTTGTTCACTAGTCGCGAATCCTGCACTTGCCCGAAACCCTAAACCCTAAAAACTGAACCCTAAACCCTACCCACAAGTAGCCCCTGACCCCGAAGGGTGAGATGCCCAGCTGACCCTGCGCAGGTCATGGAAGCCTGGGATCGCATCGTGGCGACCATGAAGAAGGCCGGTGTAAGCGTTTAGGGGTTTAGGGTTTAGGGTTTAGGGTTGGGATGTTCCCCCTGATAAGTGAACAGTCCTTAATGGGGATTGTAAGGGGGGGGGGGGGGGTTCTATAATGCCGATTAAGGACTCTTAGTATAAGGGGGGGTACATCCCAAGTGTAGGGGTTTGAGGGTTTAGGGTTTCAGTGTTTTAATGGTCTTAGGTTAGGGCATACGAATGTAGGGTTTTAGGCTTTTTATAGGAGTTGGGGCCCTAAGCCTTAAACCCTAAGCCTTAAACCCTAAACCCTAAATCCTGAACCCAAAGCTTCCGCTTTGAGTCTCAAAGGCACCGAGACCTAGTGGTTTTCCCTGTAATGAATAGAGCTTTTGGGCTTTTCCTGGCTCCTGCCAAGACAAGAGTCTAGTACCTTGAGGTGGCTTGGACACAGCAGTGAGTAGAGGCCCCTTGACAGAAACCCCACTGTCTCTCTATCTCTCTATCTCTCTATCTCTTTGTCTCTCTCTGTCCGTTTGTCTCTGTATACACCTGCATTTCCTTCCTGCCCTGATGGGGCAGGAAGGTTTGCCCTAACCTTTCACACCTGCAATCCTCCCAAAGGCTTCTGGGGATTGAGAGGCTTCCGAATAACAACCTAGGGTTTCAGGTTTTAAGGCCTGTAGGTCCTAAATGTGACGACATCCATGCTTGCCGAAGCATTGCAGCATGGGAACATGTCAGAAGGTGATGGGGTCTCTAATTAATGTGGTGCCCTAGGTTTCTTCGCCTTTTCCCCAAGGGTCCATGTACCAGAGTGTAGACTTGGTCCTTAAAGCTTGGCTTTCTTCTGGCTGGCTCTGAGGACTTTAACCTTTTGGGTTGTTGAAGAAGCTACAATAAGGAGCCCAAAAGTTAAACGTTTAGGCGGGGATCAGGAATCAGCCAAGAAAGGGTTTCCTATGGTACGAGTATATGCTATTATATGATACATGGACCCTTTGGGATTTGGATATACCTAAACCCCAAGCCTGTAGGTACATGGACCCTTGCATTTTCTGAGTAGTTCTTGGGGATAATGTTTAACTTCCCCTTCTTTCCCCTTTCAAGGAACCTAATGAATTCATACATTGTTTGCAAAGGGCTTTAACGCACGACTCAGTTTTGGATGAGTTCCATGCAATTCCGATGCTCTCGCAGGGTGAGACATCCAAGTTCACGGTGCCCGAGCCTGCGACGCACTGCCGTGAGATGCCTTGACACACACGTGAGGGTTGATCCACATCATGGTCCCCGTTTAGAGGTCTCAAGTGTCCTAAACCCTAAACCCTAAACCCGAAAGCGTAAACCCTAAACCCTACTGTAAACCCCTACACCCCTTCCATCACTTCCATCTATGTCATATCAGACCGAAGAGTCCCAATGATTCAAGACAATGCCCCTCACATGCATGCCCTAAAGCAGCAGGGTCTCTCTGAGGTTGCGGTTTGGGGTTTAGGGTTTAGGGTTTAGGGTTTGGGGTTTAGGGTTCAGGGTTATGACCCTAATTAAAGCATAAACCCTAAACCCTCATAAGATGACTACTGGGATTTTTTGTCTCTCACATCAAAGGTGTTGGCTCTTTTTGGGTCATTTCAGGGTGCTAAGCCCGAAACCCTAAACCCTAAACCCTAAACCCTAAACCCTAAACCCTAAACCCTAAACCCTAAACCCTAAAACCCTAAACCCTAAACCTTCATCTACGGTGTCTTGACGTAGGTATCGCATGGGCAATTCTCTGACTTTAAGAAAGAAGGATCCCGAAAAAGGGACCCTAGTTCAAAGGACTGAACTACGCATAAATATACCTTTTCTCCCATTCTCCCACCCATAGAAGGCCCACGTTGGCCCCATGCCGGGGTACCCCACATGGGTCTCGCTGCAACTTCAACCCCTACTTGCCCTCCCCTTGGTCCCCCTGGAGTATGGCTCAGGTGGCCAAAGAGACGCGTTAAATTCCGCCAACTGCAAAGCCCTAACCCTAAACCCTAAACGCCTAAACCTTGAGCCCTATTTCAAAGGCTGTGGATGGAAGCTGACCTAGACCCCCCAAGCACCCTTGCTTTCCGAAGTCTTCCTTACCCAGACCTGCCCAGAACGCTCCAAACCAGAAACGGTACATAAATTGCGCTGTTCCCCCTTATACTAACAGTCTCTAATGGGGGTTCTAGTTACCCCCTATTATAGGGGGTACTAGAATCCCTATGAGGGGCAACATCCCAAAAAATAACCGCAAACCCGAAGCCTGTCCTGAGGAGATGTACCTCTCAGGAGGTCCCGATCGATTTCGGGAGAAGCTTCCAGATGATGGACAGGACTTCTCAAGAGCTTGGGGTTTAGGATTTACAAGGAGTTAGGGTCTAAGTTTTGGACTTCTCTTCTTGGGATGGGAAGCTGCAGGCCCCTTTCATGCCCCATGAATAAACAACACCGCGAAGTCCAGCTAGGCGGATGCATGACCCAAACATCAGGTAAAGCCTGGGTTTAGAGTTTGGGGTTTGGGGTTTAGGGTTTAGGGGGCTGGTATTTGGTTTCAAAGGGGGTCTTTTGCCACAGCAGGACGTCATCTTCGAGATCGAGCTGGTAGCTGTGAGAAGCATCACCGACCTTTTCGGACCCTTGGAGTGTGCGCACCTTCTCGACTTAGGGTTCATACTTGGAGGTTCATGGGTACTCAGTACCCCAATTATAGCTGCACTTAAGAACCCAATTAGAACCCTACTATTGGGGCACTTAAGTGGCAAATAAGTGGGCTCCAACTACACTTATAGTTGGGTTAGAAGTACCCTGAACCTCCAAGTAGGGTTTTCTGGGTCATTGTTGAAAATCACTTTCCATTTTATGAACATTCAAACCCAATAAGGAACAAAACTCATCATCACATTTAAATAGTACCCCCGCAATGGTGCAGTTTTAGGGGGCCCCCAGCGGCAGCTGTGGCCTTTTCGGCGTAGACCCAGTACGCAAATACAGGCTGGCCGTTTATTGTCTTGAGCAACTGGGGAAATGTGCTCAAAACACGACGGGGCCATTTTGGTCCACTGTCGTGGGCTTCGGGCTTAGTATCTGACACATATCCAAAACATGCCTCGTTCTTGAACGTACTACGTATTCGGATTCAGGTAGGGCCTTCGCTGGGTATGGTTCGAAAGGGTCGTGCTTGAAATGTACATCCCTTTCCGAAAGGGGGTGTGGGGGGGTTTAGGGCCTAAGTTGAGGTTTTAGTGTATATACATATAGGTTTAGGGTTTAGGGTTGCTGTTCTACTGATTGTGTATGATCAGTGATCAGGGGGGAGGATACTTTTTGAAGAACGGACCAAGGGGTCAGGCACGAACGCTAAACCCTAAACCAAGGAGTGGCCCAACTACTATACGACCTGCAGTTTAAGGGACTTCTAAGAGAAGATCCTTATAACCCAATGTAGGGTCCTTATAACTCTACTTATAACCAGGGGGGCCCTTCCTTGTAAACCCTAAGGCTCGATGGCTCTTCCTTATCACCTTGTGTTGTTTTGTTCTTTGTTCATGTGGTGCTTTTCCTCACCGAGCATACATACATTCACCGCAGCAGTCCACTGTCGCCCTTCATACGATGTGATGGCCAAGGAGACGGAGGCGTGGTACAGAGACTTCTGCTGGACTGGCTGGGATCAACCAAGGGAAAAGCACCCACTGAAGTAAGCAAGAAGTGTAATGGATAGACTGTAGGTCCCAGGGTACTTATATCCCCAATTTTTAACTGCACTTATGAGCTCCCTACAGGTCCCGTAAGTAGGTCATATGTACAGTTCTAGTTGGAAACCCTGGGACCTAAACCCTAAACCGAAACCCTAAACCGAAACCCTAAACCCTAAACCCTAAACCGCAAACCCTAAACCCTAAACCCCAAACCCCTAAACTGAACCTCCATGTTGGGAAATCGCCTTCCCCTTAAAGCACTTTAGCTCTCCAGGAGGAGGATGCCTATGGTCCATCTCCGAAAGTCACGGATGAGGTCCACATGATGGGTTGGGGGTTTAGGGTTTCGGGTTTAGGGATAGCTGCACTGGGGGTATTTCATCATAGGGGGTAGGGGGGGGTTAACATTCGGGGGTACAGTCTTTTGGCCCTCTGACGTAGTCCCCGCAGTGTTTGTGTGCGTGCTGGGCGGGTGGCAAAAAAAACCTCGATCCTGAAGATAGAGATTTTCTGCTTGCTTGAAAGGCACGGCTTGTGGTCAAGTCAGACGCTTTTCCATCCAGCTAGGCCCCTTAGGCGGGTGGCAAAAAAGCTAAGCCTACAAGCGCCGGGACAATCGAGTCACGACCTTACAATTCCTATAGTTGTCGCTCCCTCAGTTGTGGCTCTTCCGCGACTACCTCTTGCAATACATGCCCTTATAACACCCGGCCATCGGAGAGAAAACGCCCTCCGGCTGAACTCCCGAAGCTCGCATCTGTGTTCGCCCACAAGGTCCAGATAAACTACGCGCTGGCGCTCAAAAGCGCACCAGAAGAGGTGCCCTGGTCACGCGAGGGGTCTAGGGGTTAAGCCGCGCTTGAACGCTTGTTTAGGGTTAGGGGTTTAGTCTAGGCGGGCCCATTCAGGTGAGCGGTTTCCCCATAACGCCCTTAGATGATTGTTTAGTGCCCTTACATACCCCTTATCTGTACTCTGCAACTCTCATCAGACACTTAACACCTGTGTCATTCCATCCATGCCTCCCTAAACCCTAGACATGTGAACCTAAACCCTCCCCGGTCAAACAAACAGGAAATCCATATACACCAGGCCCTACAAACCCCGCCCCCCGCCCCTCCCCCCTCCCCCTCGCAAAAAAAGCAATGCCAAAAAGCAACTTGTGAGCCCTCCTTAAGTTACCTTCCAAAGCCCCTAAAAAGAGGCCTGCATGGCCCTCAGTTAAGCAAAAAGAGCGGCAAACACCCTAAACCCTAATCCCTAAACCCTAAACCCTAAACCCTAAACCCTAAACCCTAAACCCTAAACCCTAAACCCTAAACCCTACCAAGTTGCTCGAAGAGCGGCTTCACGTCGACTTTCGGAGCCTCGACTGGCGCAGGGTTTACCTGGGGCTCGATTTTCCCCTACAGCTTAGCAGGGTTTAGGGTTTAGGGTTTAGGGTTTAGAGTTTATAGGGTTGATAGGGTTTACGGCGTTCAGGGTTCTTAGCGCGTACAGGTGTATAGGGATTATAGCATAGGGTTTATAGGGCTTACAGGGTTGTAGGGCTTATAAGGTTTATAGGGATTATAGGGCTTCTAGTTTTTATAGGGTTTATGGGGTTTATTGGGTTTATTGGGTTTAGGGTGTAGGAGTTTAGGACGAGCAAAGGCTTGTTGAGAAATGTTCAGGGTTTGATTCTTCAGGATCTGGGGGGGGGGGTAAGAGGATGTTGTGGGCTGAAGAAGGGCGTTGGGATGTTTAGGTGCTCGGGCTCTTAGGGGGCGCCTGGTAAGGATTAGAAGGTTAGTGAGTTATGGGGGCCTCTAAAACGGAAACCCTAAACCCTAAACCCCAAACCCTAAACCCTAAACCCTAAGTCTCATGTCAAGGATGGCAAGCTCCAGTCTGAACACGCTGCTATGCTCCAAGGTGCGCATCCCATGGGTTGAGCCTTAGGGTTTAGGGTTGAGGGTTCAGGGAGGGTTTGGGGTTTCGGGTTTAGGGTTTAGGGTTCAGGGTTTAGGGTATAGGGTTTAGGGTGAGAAAAGCTTCACGGTCTAGTTCGTGCTCAGAGGTTCGTAGAATCCCACACTTGAGGTTTGACGGCCGGCTTCAGGGGCAAGTGAACACCTGTTCCCGAAGCTTTCTGAGTAGTAGAGCAGGCAACCTTTAACCATTTCAGGGTTTAGGGTATAGGGTTTATAGGGCTTAGGGCTACCGAGTATGACGATTCAGTTCTGCAGTGCACAAAGCACCACCTCTCTGCCCTGACACAGGCCATCCACAAAGCCCTGTTGTCCATGAAGCCCAAGACGTCACTGGGCTTCTTCAGCCCTGAAAGCCACGAACTCCCTGTGCGGAAGCCTATTGTGGATCGGAAGGGCTTCTTGCTGATGTACGCCACTGCCTACTCAACGTCGAACGGGACCCTAAGAGTGCAGCAGCTGTCAATCAACTTGTCTCCGTTTCTGGCTGATTCCCTTGGCTTCGGGAGGGAATCAATGTAATCAACCTGCCCTAAACCCTCAACCCTAATCCCCAAACTCTAAACCCGAAGCAGCTGCCGAAGCACATCGATCTTTGATGCTCGAGCAGCCCTAACAGGAACGGCTCCCCAAATATGTAGCAACTAGAGTTCCAAGTTGGCATGTTCCCCCTTATACAAGGAGGGGCCCCCCTAGTTATAAGTAGAGTTATAAGGATCCTAAATTGGGTTATAAGGATCCTAACTTAGGTTATAAGTCTTAGTATAGTAAGGGGGGGGGGGGGGGGCTCTCCTTATACTGAATAAGGGTTATAATAGGGGGTACTATAATCCCAATTAAGGACTGTTAGTATAAGGGGGAACATCCCAAGTTCCCAATCAAACCCTAACCTGAGCCAAAACGGGGTGCTTAAGACCCTGCTTAAATGCTCCATCGACAGTTCTCTGAGGACATCTGGAGGCAAGGCCTCTGTACCACAACAGGGGCCCACTAAGGGACCAGAAGTTAGACAAAGTACAGGGAGGTTCAGGGTTTATTGTTTAGGGTGTAAAGGGGGCCCCCTTTGCCATAGTAACTGTAGTTAAGGGACTTAAAGCCTGAGATATGATGTAACACCTACAAGCCAATTTCCCTTAAAACTCTACTTAAAGCTATTCGGGCCTTCCTTGTAATTACCTCAGGGCCCCCCTGTCTGCAGCTTGCCTGAGGTATGTGCAGCTTACATGTCGCAGTGATTATGCAGCGGGCGCTGCTGGCGACGAGGCGAGGACTTTGGGGACGTTGCTTGGTTTAGGGCCCGGTTCCGGCGCGACAGCTGCCGCCAATAATGGGAGTGTTCATGTTTTCTCAGCATTTTCTGAAGATCACCGAACAGAATCGTATAGTTTGAGGTGGCAAGGGTTCAGATAGTAGAGTAGGTAGCCTTTATAACCTTTTTGGGGTAGTACATAATCCCTATAAATTCCCAAGGGTTAACCTTTAGTTCCCCTTGGTTACTGGACGGCTAAGTTGCACTCTCATGCCCAGGACCGGGGCATCCCGCCTAACACTGACGTCCTGGTCAGAATAGAACCTGGGTCTTGGAGTACTGTACGTTAATACTTTTTGTTGGTTCTGGGTTCCGATTATAGCTACTTATACCTAAAAAGTATATACTTTTTTTCCAGGGTCTACTCCAAAGCTAAGGAGCTGGTGCAGATCTACGAGTTCGAGGATGCAGGCAAGAAAGCCTTCTGGGACTCTTGGGCGAAATCTTTCCAGGGTTTCGGCTTTGGGGTTTAGGGTTTAGGGCCTAGGGGCGTGTGGGGGGAAGGCACGACAGCATGGCTTAGGCATATGTTGCATAACCTTGTTAGAGGGCTGGGGCTTATGGGTCGGGTTTACAGGGTCTTAGGAACATCGGGGTCAACCGCAACTTAGATTAAAGTTTGGGATGGGCCTTCCCGAAGGGTGGTGGCTTAAAGCCACCCTAAACCCTAAACCCTAAGCCCTAAACCCTAAACCCTAAACCCAAAACCCACAACCCCTAAACCGGTGGAGGCCTTTGGCATCCTGAAGGTGTTGTGTGTGTGTGTGTGTGAAGACTTGTTGCCAAACGCGTGCTCTACCTGGGCCACTGGACCTGAGGGCATTCTGCACTGAAGGGTTTAGGGTTTGGGGTTTAGGGTTTGGGGTTTGGGGTTTAGGGTTTGGGGTTTAGGGTTTGGGGTTTGGGGTTTAGGGTTTAGGGTTTGGGGTTTAGGGTTTGGGGTTTGGGGTTCTGGGGGGGGTTGAGGGTGTAGGGGGTAGAGGGTTTGAGGGTAGGGGTTAGGCGGTGGGGTAGGGGGTAGGGGAGCCAGGATGGCCCCCTAAACTTAGCCCTCCTTGCCCGAAACCCGAAGTACCCTCAAACTTGTAGGCCCCTAAGCCCGAAACCCCTGCTGGAACCTTGAGCCCTAAACCCTCTACCCTAGACCGTGTTGGAGCTTTAGTTTTCAGACCTGATTCTGAGGAGGAGAACTTGGTCATGAAGAAAGCCCCTCGGTTGAGTGTTGAGGGTTTTTAAAAACGGGTTTACGGTTTAGGACTTTTAGACAAGGGTTTAGGGTTTAGGAATGGCAGGAGTCCCGTCAAGCTTGTCCGAGTCTGGCTTCAAAAGGGTTTAGGGTTGAGGGTTTAGGGCTTAGGGTTTAGGGTTCACGGGCGGATGGGACCCCTACAAGGCGCTCTTCATCTTATTCCCCTATGTGGCCCATACATATTCCCTATATTGTACCTTATGTGGTCCCCACATACCAAAGTAGCCCCTAAAAAAAAACCCAAAGAACCCCTAAGGTCCTTCGAAGGGTGCTTGAGAGCGGCGGTCATTCAATGTTGAGCTTTATAGTTCTAAACGGGAAGAAGAGAACGGGCGTTGCCTCGTCGCAAACGAGACATCTTGAAACAGAATACGCAATATTACCATAAACCTAAACCCTAATTCCCTCTACATCCCTGAACCTTCGCAGTGTCACGTTTCGGACCTTCATCTACAACGCTCTAAACATTCAGACACGAGCTCTCCTCATAAACGATGCGCAGTGCGGCTGTTCCGACCCCAGCCTGCTTTTGAAGCTTGGATAACCTGCGATCTGTGAGCGGTGGACGACTGCCTACACCCCAAACTGGTTCAGGGCTTAGGGTAATTACCCGAAACTCTAAACCCTGACCCTAAGCCCTAAAACCTAGCCCGTTTAGGGTTTAGGGTTTAGGGTTAGGGTTTGTTCGTGAGTGTATAGGGTTTAGGGTGCAAAACCGATCTTTCAGGCCATCGTCACTGTGCCAAGTCGACTCTGCCCGGGCTTTGATGGCACCTGGTGCAAGGCTCGCTGGTGCAACCAGTGTAGGTTTAGGGTTTAGGGTTTAGGGTTTAGGGTTTAGGGTTTAGGGTTTAGGGTCTGTTCAGAAGGGTTTAGGGGATCGGAGTTGTGCCTCAACTATATGGCAGGAAGCTACAATCCCAAGCCCTTCTCGGGCTGATCATGCCAGAAACTTGTCGGCTGGGGGAGGGGGGCTGTTCGTAAATGTTCTAAACTAGTAATGAACTGTGCAAACGACCAATAACTGGGCCCCCTAGGCCCTAAACCCTGCACCCTAAACCCTAAACCCTGCTTTACAACAACCTCACCATGTATCTCTTCTCGAGCAAAATCAACGCGCATCCGCTAGAAGGAGCCTCCAGATGTCCAGGTTGGCTAAACCCCTATTGTTTATAGGGTTTATTCCGAGTTGTTTTCCATTTAACATGTTTTTTTTTATCGGGTTTATTCGGAGTTGTTTTCCATTTAACATGTTGAGAAAAGAATCGGGCAAGCCCACCTCAATCCTTGTTGTACTCATGTATGGCTCATGCCCAGAGGAATTTTCTTCTAAGAGGAGTAGCAACTTCCGGCAGATGGCCTGAGGTGAAGGTCCTCAGCGCGAAGGTGGGTGAGGAGCTCGTGACCCTAGAGTGGTGTTGGGGCTGGGTAGGGGGTACGGGTACGGGGTAGTAGGGGGTGGTAGGAGGCGGGGGGGGTGGCGGGGGGGTAGGGGGTCAGGGGTAGGGTAGGGGGGTGGCATAAACAGCATCCTACCGATTATATTCCAATGATATCCCGAGTTACAACTAGCGGGGCCCCTCCTTGTAGGAGGAGAAAGTGACCGAAGAAATCATGGTCAACACCATCGTTGGCAATGGTGAGATGCATCTTAGCTGTATGGCCCTCGCAGTCGGTTGAGGGGTCTGGGGCCTGCAAAGAGGTTGGGCTTAGGGTTTAGGGTTGAGGGTTTAGGGTTTAGGGTTTAGCCTTCCCCCTAAATCCTAACCCCCTCAACCCTCAACCATCAACAGAAAGCCCTAAGATGTGGGGCCTAGGGTTGAACGGAGTCTGATGGGTTTAGGGTTTAGGGTTTCCGGGTTGCCCCTAAACCCACACCCTGAAGTTGGAGGCTAGGTGTTGTTGCAGCAGACAACTGCTTCTTTGCAGCCTTTGAGGGTTCGGGCTTGGGATGTTCCCCCCTTATACTAGCAGTCCTTGAGAGGGATGAGAATAGCAGGGTACGATCGTCCCTATGAAGGACTGTTTGTGTAAGGGGGGAGCATCCCTAGTCGGGCCAAGGCCTCTTCCCAATACTTTTGCAGTTTAGGGTTTAGGGTTTAGGGTTTGGGGTTTGGGGTTTAGGCTTTAGGGACCATCGCCATTCAAGTTTTCTGCAGACTGGGCAGCGGCAACTGGATTGTGAATTTGGACCTAATGGTCAAGACAACTCCGAGGGTGGCCGTGTTGTTTTGGCTGAGGCCCCTCCAGTTTTCGACAAGAAGGGTTGAAGCAGAGACCATTGCATAGTCTCCGCTGGTCAGAACTCATACCTGCGTGCATAGCTTGTCGTGGTTGGGTTGCGCCTTCGATATTTTGATGTCGGTTGCTGGGGAGGGGGGGTTGCTGAACCCTAAACCCTAAACCCTAAACCCTCCTACTGCGTGGAGGTGTGACGCATTGGAGGGAGCCTGTGCCCGAATGCGCAAAGGACTCGCTGCCTCCGGAGTTTAGGATTCTTGCACTACGGTTTGTGAAGAGCTGACGCATGAATAAGGGCTTTTGGGTTTACAAATCACTACGCCCTGAACCCTACAGCCCAAATAGATGAATGATACAGGTTCGCCTTACGGGCTCACTAGGCCTTACCACTATTGTTTTCTTAAGAATTCCAAAAAAAAACGAAAAAATCTTCCTTACGAGGGGAATATAGGGACTATTATCTTTGACTGATTTTTTTTTTTTTGGGGGGGGGGTGTGGTAACTGCACAACCTATCCTCAGTATACGGGATTAACTTGAGCAGATCTTCTGTATGCATTCTGCATAGCCGCATATCGACTTAGCTTTCAGGAGTCGTCACAGTGGCCTTGAAGACTACAGCCTTGCCCTCCCCCCAATCACCTCCCCCAGGGCCCCTCTACCCCCCTAAACCCTAAACCCTAAACCTAAACCCTAAACTTACAAGCTCTTTTGACTTAGTAACGCTTAGTATCGTACCCCCCTCTTAGAACCCCCCCCCCCCCATAAGCCACCTTTTTCACCCTACTTGCTAAGTCAAACGGCTTGCAAGTACCCCCGCCCTAAACCCTAAACCCTAAACCCTAAACCCTAAACCCTAAACCCTCAGAGGAGAAGTTGCGTTGGTTACAGTCAAGCCCATCCCATCTCTCCACACGCCGGGGATCCCGAGCCTCGAGGTGGAGGGCTCAAACCTTGGTAGGGTTTAGGGTTTCACGGTTTAGGGGTTTCAGGGTTTCAGGGTTTCAGGGTTTCAGGGTGTCAGGGTTTCAGGGTTTCAGGGTTTCAGGGCTGCAGGATTCCCCCTCAAGTATAGAACTTAGTGCCCTTTTGTGTACAAGGCGGGGCACCCCTTTCCATACTGACCATAGTCCAGGGCTTAGTTAGGGCTTTCGGCTTCAGCAATCGGTCGGCCGCACAGCTTGCAAGATGGATGTTCCCCACTTGTGGTTGTAGTTCTATAGGATTCTTAAGGGACTTAGGGTTTAGGGTTTAGAGTTTAGGGTTTAGGGTTTAGGGTTTAGGGGGTTCAAGGGGGCGGTAGGCACCTAGGGGACCTTAGGGAAGCATTGGGGACCTTAGGGAGTTCATGGGGAGGATTAGGGAACCTTGGGTTACATACCTCCTTTGAACCCCCCTCCCTTAAGAACCCTATGATAGTTGTTGGAGGGTCTGCGGTACTTCGATGAACTGAGACGTATGGTGAGTTGGTGTCCTATTTCAAGAAAGAAGTAGGTACCAAGTAAATCAGAGAGCTGCAATTGGTGGCTCTAGACTCTGGGTGGTTTTGGGATGGAGATGTTGAGCCCTTGACGCTCATAGCTCAAAAATCCCTGAAAGCCCTAAACATGCCTTATAAAACCCTGAGCCCTAAACTTTCCCAAACCCTAACCCTACACCCTACACCCTACACCCTAAATCCTAAACCCTAAACCCTAAACCCTCAACCCTAAACCCTAAACCTAAACCCTACACCCGAAACCCTAAACCCTAAACCCTAAACCCTGGCCAGATCTCTGCTGGGGCTGGTGATGTGGTGTACAAGCTGGAGATGGTGGACTTCGGCAGCCTGGCCTTGCTGCAGGGGTTTAGGTTTAGGGTTTAGCGTTTAGGGTTTAGGGTTTAGGGTTAGGGTTTAGGGTTTGGGGTTTAGGGTTTAGGGTTTAGGGTTTAGGGTTTAGGGCAAGTTGAGGGCTCGGAAAAATTGAGAGGTAGGGGAGATCTGGAGTTGAGGCCTCGGGCTACCCTAAACCCTAAACCCTAAACCCTAAACCCTAAACCCTAAACCGTTCTCAGGGTTCAGGGTTCAGGGCCGACAGAGAGCCGTGGAACAAAAGGGGTCCCCGGCAGCCATGAGACCAGTGGCAAAAAAAGGGTTTAGGGTTTAGGGCAAAGTAGGATTTAGGTGTGGTTTTTGACGTAGGTTTACTGGTTCGGCTTCAGGGAATGGATAAGATTTAGGGTTAAGGCTTCTTCGTGCGACTCTTGTATGTTGATGATCTTGCTCTAGAGGGCAGTAGCCTCGTGCCGCCTCGGGGCAGGGGGGGGGGGGGGTGTACTCTCAAAACCCTACTTGGAAGCCCTTTTGACGTAGTAAGTGTGGTTAGGAAGGTGGGTTGTTAAGATAATAGGGGCTATGTGACTACATCGAGTACTAAGTAGACTTACTGAGTCAAAAGAGCTTCGAAGTACACCTAAACTCTCAGCCGTAGAAGCCCTAAACCCTTAACCCTACAAAGAGGGGCCCCCTTACTGCACAAACTCAAGTTAAGGGACTTGTAACCTAAGTTGGATCCTTCAAACCAAATTTAGGACCCTTATAGCTCTACTTATATCTAGGGGGACCCCTCCTTGTAACCCTAAACCCTAAGCCCTAAGCCCGAAGCACCAGGCCATCCTCCACCAGAGGAGGGGCCAAGCGACTCTACCAAGTTGCCTCTTGGGCGCAATGGTTCCAGATCTTTTTTATTGTGTGTGTGTGTGTGTGTGTTTTTTTTTAGGGGGGGGGGGGGGGGGGGGGGGGTTGGGTTCAGGATTGAGGGTCTAGGGTTTAGGGTTGCGGGGGGCTTACTGTAGCACATCTATGCCCTAAACAGCAGGAGCCTTGAACCCCAAACCCTGTTTTCCTGACATGGACCCTTGCTGCATGTTAAGTTAAAGGACTAAAAATTAAGTTAGGATCCTTATCACCCCATTTAGGGTCCTTATAGCTCTACTTATACCTGGAGGGGCCCTTCTTGTATGCCCCATGCCCTACGAACCCAGCTTTGCGAGGCTTTTGTTTCTGTAGGTTTCGACATGTGCCCTAAACCCTAAACCCTAAACCCTAAACCCTAAACCCTAAACCCCCCGACAGGCTGGAGTTCTGCCAGAAGCAGAAAGGACGAGGACAGGGATGTCGGGGCACTTTTCGGTGGAGTCTGGGTGCAGGGTCCCGTTTTTTCCATCTGACCTGCAAAGTCCGGACGCGGAAAAGGTTTTTCCGAAACCCTGGCCCTAAATCGCTTCTGACCCAATCCCTAGACCTCGCCACTATGTAATCTTGTCACGACATTGGGGCTTGGAGAAAGTAAGCCTTAAGTAAGCATCAAGCAATGGAACAAAGCGGCGAACTCAAGATGTTCCCCCTTATACCAACAGTCCTTTATAGGGACAATATTAGGGGGTGCCCGAATCCCGATTAAGGACTGTTAGTAGTTAGTGTATTAGGGCGAGCATCCCAACCCCAACCCCTTATATAAGGCTGCACATGCCACAAGCCAGGGGTAAGTTTAGGGTTTAGGGTTTAGGGTTTAGGGTTTAGGGTTTAGGGTTTAGGGTTCAGGGTTTAGGGTTTAGGGTTTAGGGGTCTTGCGCTGTCGCGGCATGACAACTTTCCAATACCCCGCTAAACCCTAAGCCTTCAACTCCACTAGACCCTGAATTTTCACCGAATGCCACCAGCAGGCCCATAACTTTCCCTAAGGGTCCATGCACCTAATTATTATATACCTGGGGCCCAAAGTCCCTATACAGCTAGTACTTAAAGGCCCAAGTATTCCCTATTTAGGTACATTGACCCTTAGGGTTTGGAACTTGGCTTAGGGTCCAGGTTTTTTTCGGTTTCAGGGTGTAGCCCTAAGAGTCCATATACCTCAAAAGGGAATACTTGCGCCTTAAAGCACCTCCTATATACGGGCTTTATCGGGCCCACGTATACAACAGTATGGTACCTGGACCCTTAGGGCTAAACCCTAAACCCTTAGGGTAGGGTGTTGTGGCCAGGCTCAGATCACTTCAAGGCAGGGCGCGTCCGCCTCGCGTACGCCGCTTGCCCAATTGGTGGCAAGGGGCTGCTCTGGGCTTCAGGGGTTTAGGGGTTTAGGGGTTTAGGGGTTTAGGGTTTAGGGTTTAGGGTTTAGGGTTTAGGGTTTAGGGTTTAGGGTTAGGGTTTAGGGTTTTAGGGTTTAGGGTTTAGGGTTTTAGTGTTCCGGGGCCCGAAGCCCCATGACAGTCAGGAGAGATACTCGAGGGTCGTCGCCCTGCTTCCGCGCTACAAGCGGCCGCTGGGCAGTTCCACCAGCGTGGAGGCCAGGCATGAACTCATGGGGCCATCATTTGGGTCCTGTTTTGTTTATGGGTGCAGGGTTTAGGGTTTAGGGTTTAGGGTTTATAAGGTTTAGGGTTTATAAGGTTTAGGGTTTATAAGGTTTAGGGTTTAGGTCTATGGAATCCCTTGAAGGGTATATGGCTAGTTCTGGGTCCCCTATATAATAGGACACCCTTGTAGATCTTGGTGCGGGTTTGTATTCGGTGTCATTTTGAGGATACTATTTATGAAAACAACCTACCGGTTTTAGATTCTAGCTGACCGGAATCTACGCAGAGGGATTGGGGGCTTCGGGGGGTTTAGGGTTAGGGTGTAGGGAAATTATCTCGTCTACTTACCCCAAGGGTCCATGTACCTCATTATTATATACTTGGACTCCGAAGTCCTTCTACAGGAATTACCTTCAGGCCCAAGATTTCTCCCTATTTCGGTACATGAAACTTAGGGGACTCTCTAGACGACTTGGGTTGTATGCACCAGGTCTTCGAATGAGGTACCCTTTATAGCCCCTTAAAGGGTGTATATATATATATATGTATATTTGTATATATATATATAGAGATATATATATATCTATGTATGCATCTAGGGCCCTAGTTCCCTCCCAAGAGCCAAGGGGTAAACCACAATGCGCCAGGTCTTCGAAGATCCAAGGGAGCGAAAAGCCGCAGAGGAGCAACGACACCCGCGATCTTTTCCGTTGCAGCGTGAGAAGGGGTCTTGACTTTCTTCTGGCTGGTTTATAGGGTTTAGGGTTTAGGGTTAGGGTTTAGGGTTTAAGGTTTGGGTTGAGGGTTAGGGTTTAGGGTTTGGGTTTAGGGCTTTCTTCTGGCTGGCCCTTAGGAATTTGACCTTTTGGGTTGTTGAAGAAACTACAATAAGGAGCCTAAAAGTTAAACATTTAGGAGGGGATCAGAAATCAGCCAAGGGGTGCACTGTGTACATCTGTGTTCGGCCGAAGCCCTTCTTTCCTAGGGGTTAGTGTCCGGATTTAGGTCCGTCAGCCCTAAACCCTAAATCCTAAACCCGACACCCTAAACCCCAAACCCTAAATCCTAAACCCTGTAGGAGCTCAAGAACACCTGCCGACTCAACCTTGCTGCGTGCGTGCCCATGAACGCAAGGATCGGTGGTTCAGGGTCGGGTTCATGTTTTTGGCCGGCCAATTCCTATAGGGTTCAGAGTTTAGGGTTTAGGGTTTAGGGTTTAGGCTTAGGGTTTAGGGTACCTAGACCCCCTCTCACCGTAGAATACATAGCATGATAGTTCGGTGCCGCAATAAATCGGGAGTCCAGGTAGGGTTTGACAAGTGACAGATTCGGGCTGGCTCCGGGCCTCCGTCCCGTCGTTCTCAGCGTGGTAGTTCTTAGACTTTCTGTGCGTCCAGGGGGCTCTGGCGCCGATTTTTTTTTGGGCTTAGGGTTTAGGATCCCTAAACCCGAAATCCTAAACCCTAAACCCCTAAACCCCTAAACTCTAGATTTTCCGCCGCGGCTTGGATGGGGGGAGACAAGGCGCTGAAGCTGGACCTTGCGTACTCCGCCGCTCGATTCTGCGACGAGGTGCTGAAGGAGGCACATACATCCCTGCGAATCCTTCATAGCTGAATATAGGGTTTAGGGTTTAGGGTTACTAGAACTCCCACGGACACAATGGCTAGGTCCCTGGAAGTCTAGGGCTATGCCCTCATAAGCTTGTTTGTGGCATTTGTTCAGGGGCTTCAGGGTTTGTTCAGGTGCTTTGTGTCTGGTAAGGGGCTTCATAGGAACCTTAGAATTGATTCTTTTCATTTTTTGGTTGAAGGGTTTGAAGGGTTCAGCAAGGGTTTGTGGGCGAAGGGGGGGGTGGGCGGGGTCTTGGCGCTGCGATGCATGCCGCATCGAGCATTGCCGGCATGTCGTATGTAGCGCGAGGACATCACCTCATGAAATCCCCTTGAGGCCCCTTCAAACAATTCTTCAATACCTTTAGGTTTGAGGGTTGGGGGGCGGGGGCAGTATTCCTAAGCCTCAAGTGAGGTCTCCTGTCTACCAACTCTAGTGAAGGGACTGCAAAACCTCAGTTATGATACTTAGAACCCACTTTAAGACCCTTCTTACTCCACCTTAAAAGCTAAGGGGCCCCTACTTTTATACCCTACTGCCCCTACTTCTATACCCCTAAGTACTTGGGCCCCAAATTCCCAAAACAGCAAGTACTTTAAGGCCCCAAGTATTCCCTGTTCAAGTACAGGGACCCTTAAGGGCACCCTAAAACCTAACCCTAAACCCTAAACCCTCAAGGACCCCAGGAACGTCAAGGCGCTGTACCGGCGAGCACAGGGCCGACTGGGCTCCAAGGACTTCGAGGAGGCAGTTCCCCTTCTCTTTTGTTGTGCAATGCGGTTTAGGGTTTAGGGTTTTGGGTTTTGGGTTTTGGGTTAGGGGTTTTGGGCTCAGGGTTTAGGGCTTTTGGAGGTTGGTGAGGCTTCCAGGCCAGGATCCCTGCAAGCCTGCGGCAAGAGAGGGTTTAGGCTTGAGGGTCCAAAGGGTTTAGGGTTTAAATTTAGGGTATAGGGTAAGGCCCACTTGGGGTTTCCGAAATTAGGGGTACCTTATCTTGGCTTTCTTATGGCTGGCTCTAGGACTTTAACCTTCTGGGTTGTTGAAGAAACTACCATAGGGAGCCTAAACGTTAAACTTTTGGGAGGGTTTCAGAATGCAGCCAAGTTGTTGGGGTCCTGATTACAAAGGATCCTACTATTTGGGTAAGGATCCCTAATCTTCGTAAACCCCCGTACAAGCCGCCGTCTAGGATCCTTGGGGAACCTACAAAAAGGTTTCTTACGGTACCCTAAGGGTCCCTGTACCTAAATAGGGAATACTTGGGCCTTAAAATACTTCCTATATAAGGGTTTAGGGTTTAGGGTTTAGGGTTCCCAGTTATATACTAATGAGATCCATGGGCATGTTGTGTTGGAAGCGTCCCCGCAATAAATCCGCAAATCCTGTTAAAGCAAACTAAGCCTAAACCGGTCTCTCGGCCCTCCAACTTTAGGGTTTATGGTTTAGGGTTTAGGGTTTAGGGTTTAGGGTTTAGGGGGGTTTAGTGTTCAGGGCTTCCGGGCGTTACGGTTGAAGGGCTTGGAACTTGAAGATGGCGCTGGTGAAGGTTTGAGGTTGGGTTGGCTTCAGGTTGTGGATTTCGGGTTGCAGGGTTTAAGTGCCACTCCCCCGCTAAATATTTCCCACCCAAGCCCCGGAAGCTCTTAAACCCCAAGCCCTTGTTGCAGGATTACAGGAAGGGGCCCCCCCTTGCTGTACGAACTGTAGTTGGGGGACTTACAACCTAACTTCTACTACTGAGAACTTAGAACCTAGGGCCCCTGTAACTCTACTTCTGACTAGGGGGCGATTTAGAGTTTAGGGTTTAGGGTTTGTAGCCCCCCCCCCCCCCCCACCACAAGAGGCAGAAAACTAGGCATCAGTTGATTTGCTGTGAACTATGCTACCCGAGAAGGCTAAGCCTCAGCCACCCCCAACTGGCCACTGTGGGGATCATCTGAAATTCGGCTCAACCCCAAACCGTAAACCCTAAACCTCTATGATGTTGGATTGGGGTCGTTCCGGTCACACTCTGGGGGATTTTCTGGGGCAGGAACCCGAAACCCTGAACCGTGGACCGGCAGACCCGGGCGAGGAGCATGGCTGAGTTCGACCCCCAACGGCCCCACAACCGAGGGTCGAGAAGAAGAAGACTCAGACTGCCCAGACCCTAAACCCTAAACCCTAAACCCCAAACCCTAAACCCTAAACCCTAAACCCCAAACCCCAAACCCTAAACCCTAAACCCTAGACCTCCAAACCCCCACAACTCAGCAGGCCCCCGAAGAAGTACCATCAACCCCCTTCCCCGCTCCCGCCTAAGCTCCGTACTAAACTACCCGAAGCTCGAAATCCTAAACCCTGAACCCTAAACCCTACACCCTAAACCCTCACGTGCAGGCGGTGAGCGACTGCAAGGCCATCCTCGAGCTCGAGCCGGGCAACAAAGACCATTTAGCTTTAGGGTTTAGGATTTGGGGTTTAGGGTTCAGGGTTCTGGGTTCAGGGTTCAAGGTTGAGGGGCTTTTAGCGCTTCGCTCTAATACATGTCAGACCCTAAACAGTTGGGTGAGCCCTAAACCCTAAATCCTAAATCCCAAACCCTAAACCCTAAACCCTAAACCCTAAACCCTAAACTTCCCCAAACCCTGAGTCCCTGGAATCTCTCGAGTGGCGGCTCGAGGACGCCCGGCTCCTCGCGCAGAAGGTCCGACAGGAAGAGAAGGCAAGGAACCCTTTTTTACCCTTGTTTTGGTTATGGGTTTAGGGTTTAGGGTTTAGGGTTTAGGGTTTATAGGGTTTAGGGTTTAGGGTTTAGGGTTTAGGGGGTTCCCTTATACAGAAACCCACCCAAAAAGGGTGCCTACCAAGAAGCTCATCCGTATCCCTGTATATCCGGATTCCGTAAAGACCCATCCCCCAGCGTAGTCTCAGCACGCTTCCTAAACGCTAAACCCTAAACCCTAAACCCTAAACCCTAAACCCTCAGGAGCAGCTCCGGATGCAGAAGGAGCAGTTTGGTGCTTCACTGGTGAGGAAGCTCGCGTAGAAACTGGCCGCCTTTTTTTGGCTTACAAGATTGGCCTCCTAGTTGTCAGTAGAGCTGTAGGGGCCCGAAATTGGACCATAAGCATTATATGACTTAGGGTATTCTTAAGTCCCTTGGTAAGCTGCAACTAGTCTAGCAAGTGGGGCCCTCCCTGTAGGGTTGAGGCGAATTCGTGAGAGTACTATTTGCTTAAGAGCCCCCCCAAAACAAGAAAAATAAAATCAATATATAGATATAGATATACACACACACACACACACACACATATATATATATATATATACAAAATAAGCCCTAGTAAGCCCTACAATTCCCTTGCAAGGAGAAACATCGTTAATTTTTTTGGGGGGATTCTACAGCAAATAGTAGGAGATCAGCCGGGGCAGAAGACCCCGTGCGGCCCATATACCAGCTTACCGCGGACATGCGATGAGATGCCAGGGTCCGGGGTTCTGTGGATGGGGTTTAGGGTTTAGGTTTCAGGGTTTAGGATCGTTTTAAAGTTACCCTAAACCCTAAACCCTAAACCCTAAACCCTAAACCCTAAACCCTGAACCTGACTTCTAGGTAACGTTTTGAGAATGGCATCTCTTATGGTAAGGTTCCCCAGCTGCCATGGCTTCTGGATCATACCTAGATACTGCCAAATACGCTTTGTGTCGATATATGAGAGCAGCTCTGGACCTGCCGGGGCACAGGGTTTAGGGTTTAGGGTTTAGGGTTTGTTCAAGCTGCGCTTTGTGAGTTAGTGCGCGTTTCCATTGGCCGTTTTTCCACCCAGACACGCTTTTTCTGTCACGTGTCAACTGACGCGGCCCACGACGTCGAATGAGAGACCCCAGTGGTACCGGCATTCGCTTTGGAGTCCTTAAACAAGAATGAGGCCCCTTGGGCATTAAGGCAGAACAGAAAGATGTGTGTTTGCCAATAAGCTTCTGGAGGTGTCACACCCCCACCCAACCCCTAAACCCTGAACCCTAAACCCTAAACCCCTCGATACCTCTAAAGCCTTAGATGTTGCGGGCAAGCGATGCCCGCCCCCTCGACTTCTCTGGCAACGACTTCAAGTGTGGCGGAATGCACGGTGCGAGTCGATTGCTGCTTTCTTGCACGGTTTAGGGTTTAGGGTTTAGGGTTTAGGGTTTAGGGTTTAGGGTTACAGGGCATTTGTTTGCAGATGGGTTCTCCGACGGACCTATGCCCCTAACTGTTCCTCTCTTCGTTTGAACCTGCTAGCGGAGGCACTGACTACAATTATTGGGGCTATTGAGCAAGGGCGCGCCTAAAACCACGAGTTGTGAGTTTCCGCAAAAGCAGGTCGCAGCCCGAACTCTTTCACAAATTGCCGCGAACAGAGGCAGCAAATGCCTGTCATGCTGTGCATATTACACAACACCCCCCTCGTCTCAACACCCCGAATCCTAAACCCCTCACGCCTTCATCGAATCCCCTTACAGCCTACTATCCCTAGCAAAAGGGGCCCTAAATTGCGTTTTAAGGGTCCTAACTTAGGTGATAAGTCCCTTATACTGGGTTGTGCTTTGTGATATGTTTTAATTTCCTTTCTTTACTTATAAGAGAATCTACGTATTCATAAATAATTTTCAAAGGGTTTACAGCACAACTCAGTATATTAGTTAGTATAGTACGTGGGTCCCTCCTTGTATGCTCCTACAGTGACCCTTGAGGCTTCTCTTACGGCGCGGTCCGGGGCCTCTTGTCCTGGAAAGACGGCAGCGAGCAGGTGGCGCAGCTTCGTTACTGTTCACCCCCGTTGTAGGGTTTAGGGTTTGAGGTTCAGGGTTTAGACTTTAGAGGCTCGGTAGGCCCCTGGAACATTCTTCGTTTTCCCTTATGGGTTTAAGAGGATCACATTCGGGAATATTTTTCAGAGGTCTTCAAGAGCCATCTAGTAGGGGAATTTCCCAAAATGGTGTATGCACCCTTCAGTGTTCAGGGGTTTTTTCAGGAGTTCCCTGGTTTTCGGAAATACCTAAGAGCACTGATTTTTTTGGGGCTATGCTCAAGCTTACATTTTGAATGTTCATGGAGACTCGGCTGACATTCCCAAGGGCCGTATACTGGAGAGGTTGTTGCTTTGCCAGCAAGATCAATACCTGAATCTTTCACATTCAGGACAATCTAAACCCTAAACCCTAAACCCTAAACCCTGGCAGTGTGTGCCGGCTGAGTCATGCCTAGGCTCCCGGATCTTGCATCTTGCTGGTGCGAGAAACACTTCCAACCCTAGTCCCTGGTAGGCTTAGGGAGTTTATGGTGTTTAGTTGTTTTTTTTCCGGTATATACAGCCTCTTTACTGAGTTTGTAGAGGGTTTAGGGTCCTAAACTCCTAAACCCCAAACCCAAACCCAAACCCCAAACCCCAAACCCTAAACCCTAAACCCTTAACCCTAAACCCTTAGCCTTAGGTGGAGTTTGGCCTCTTCGAGCTTAAGCCTGGCAACGTCGTCGTGGGGGAGGTTTGCCAAGGACTCTCGGGCCCAAAATCTGTTATCCCTAGCTCTACGCCCCAACCCTAAACCCTCTACCCTCTCAACCCTCCCAGCCTACACTGGGCCTGCACCCGAACTCTTCGTGGGTTTGTGCTGGTGGTCTCTGAACTCGTGAGTCTTTGCCAGTTCCATGTGCCGTTGAGGAATTCTTGCTACTCCGGTTTTAGGGTTTAGGGTTTAGGGTGCAGGTGCACCATTAATCCCGACTTGGGTTGCAATTGTTTGGGTTTTGCACAGCTCTGACTCAGCCGGAAAACCCTGCACAACACTAAGCCCGAAATCCTACACCTAAGCCCTAAACCCTAAACCCCACACCCTAACCCTACACCCTAAGCAGGTCCCCCGCTCTTCACGAAGATCGCCTGGCGCCTGGTTGCCTCTACGAGTGTCAGCAGTCGGCTCGCGGATATACGAAAAGGCGGGGGGGGGGGGGTGTACGGTTCAGAGTTGATGGTTGAGGGCGTTTAAGGAGTTTGCGGCCTTTAGGGAGTTCAAGGAGTGTCGGGCGTTTAGGCAGTTTAAGGAATTTAGGGGGTTTAGGCTTAGGGTTCTGACCTTGATTTGCAGTTGCTTGCTCCGAAGCCACATGGTCCGAAATAATGGCCCCTTTTGGCGTACCGGGTGCTAAGTAACAGGGGGGGCCGCCGCAGAGAGAAGGAACCCAAAAAGGGATCATATTTTTGGAGAACTGACCACCCTAAACCCTAAACCCTAAACCCCAAACCCCAAACCCCAAACCCTAAACCCCAAACCCCAAACCCTAAACCCTAAACCCTCTGCCGTGGTCCAGGGGACACGCTCTTCTTCGCGAGCCCGAGCTGGGTGTTGGCGTTTTCTGGGGCAGCTCGGCTTGCCTTCCCAGCTGTGCGAATGACCTCTCAGCCTAAACCCTAAATATGTGTATGTATGTATGTATGTATGTATGTATGTATGTATGTATGTATGTATGTATGTATGTATGTATGTATGTATGTATGTATGTATATGTAGGTATATTCTGTATACACATAGGTATATATATATATAAATACAGGACTACTCAAATAAATAGATAACTATATATATATACACATATACACACATAAATAAATAAATAAATAAATAAATATATATATATATATATGTAGGGCTTAGGGTTTAGGGTTAAGAATATACATATATATATATATATGTTATGATGCATATACTCATGTCACAAAGATGTAAATACACTTGATGTACGCGTGAATGTCTATGTATATACATCATTGTGTATATGTATCTAATCTATACCTATACTTTGTATGTGTGTGCATATATATATATATATGTATATGTGTGTGTGCAAGTATCCACCATTACATGTCTACGCATGCATAGGCAGCTCATCTCTAGACCATTCACGTACGTGCACGTCACTACATACACCCCAAACCCTAAACCTGGTGGCAAAATCCAGAACCCTAGCCCTAAACCCTAAACCCTATAAACCCTATAAACCCTACACCGGCGTCTTTTTGTTGGAGCCTTTGGTCGAAGGCAACTCGGGAAGAAAGACGGCCCACGGCCCCGTGGCTTGGCGATGTAAAGGCCTCTTTAGGTTTTTGTTAGGCTTAGGGTTTAGGGTTTGGGGTTTAGGGTTTAGGGTTTGGGGTTTAGGGTTTGGGGTTTGTGGGTTGGGGAGGTGAGGAATTAGGGCTTGTGGAGGGTTCGGGTGAAGCTTGGAGTCCACTGGAGTTCGATTTTGGGTTGAGGGTTTAGGGTTTAGGGCTAGGGTTTAGGGACCTATCTTCTTTCCAAAAGAAGAAGGAAGAAGGAAGGGGGCCTGTGCAAGGCACCAGATTGCCGCGCGGAGACCATGGGTTCCCCTACTAGCCTCCTCTATACTGCTCCCCCCTGGACTTTAGGGTTTGGGGTTTTCCTAAACCCGACACCCTAGGGGGGAGGAGTATAGAGGGGGGTAGTAGGGGAACCCATGAAGAGAGAGGTTCGACATGTGCTGACATGTCTGCACACGTCCTCTGTGCCGTGGTGTCAAACATGCTTTTAATTGTTCTTCTGACCTAGGTCGATCTCCCTCACTGTAGCTAGAGTGTCCTAACGCACGGCTGCTTGGCGAAGCACCCTAAACCCTAAACCCTAGACCCTAAACCCTAAACCCTAAACCCCTGGCACTGGCGCATTTTTTTTGCGCGAGGCGGATGCTGCCGGAGCCAAACTGGGAAGAGGACGTTTGCCGAGCTACGCCGGTGGTGCCCAAGCTTGACCCTTGGGCTTCAAGCCTAAGCTGGGTAGGGGTTTAGGGTTTAGGGTTTAGGGTTCAGGGCCCTTGGGATGTTTTGCATTTTGCCTTGTGGGGTTTATCAGGATCATATTCAGGAACATTCTTTAGGGGGTTTACGGGGCCAACCCGGTAAGTAGAGCTTACAGGGTGATGTGTCGGGCAAGGCAGATATGTATGCGTTGGAGGATTCATGGGTGGGCCAGGATCCTCTCATCGTGGGCACG